TAAGGTTTCAGTCTTTGCAACATCCAAACAATTGATAGGCACACCCTCATGTTGGCAGACAAATGTCTCTCACCAGGTCAGAATCTCCTGCTGATCAAAGTCACTGGGTGTAGATTCCCTCTGTGGTCCGCTCAGCACAGCATGGCTCCCAGACTCACACTCGACACATTGATGTATACGATGAACTCCCGGTGGTAGTCCAGCACAACAAAGGCCGATCTTGAAGTCCGTGCTCTCTTCTGTCGACTGGCAGTCATCAGGCACTCTGAAGTCCACTCAATGTCCTCTGCTTGCCGTTTCCGGTTAAGCCTGCTTTCTTTCTGGCTCGTCGCTTCACTTTCTCTAAAAGAGGACAGTCCCCTCTGGGGAAAGGGTAGGCAGATGAAGTCCACTCAATGTCCTCTGCCTGCCGTTTCCGGTTCAAGCCTGCTTTCTTTCTGGCTCGTCGCTTCACTTTCTCTAAAAGAGGACAGTCCCCTCTGGGGAAAGGGTAGGCAGTTCCTTCTCTTCCTCCAGAACATCTATGGATGTGTCCTTCTTTGAGATCTTATTGCTTACACCTTCCTCCTCAACCCCAAATTCACCCACAGGTACTTTTATTGCAAAGTTTTCTATATGTGGCAGACCACTATCACAGGTCACTTCGAGATTCTCAGGTGAGTTTAAGTGCAACACCCCCAAGTTCACCCACAGGTACTTTTATTGCAAAGTTTTCTATATGTGGCAGACCACTATCACAGGTCACTTCGAGATTCTCAGGTGAGTTTAAGTGCAATCTTAACCACTTGGTTTATTTTAGATGCATTGGGATTTTCATCATCTTGTTCTATATCTTTAATATTTGGTTTCTTAGGTAGGGGTTTGCATTGCAGAGTTTTAAGGGGTTTTGCACCTGCAGAGTGACTAGACTTCACAGCCCTCCGGTTCTGCTGCAACAACTCCACAGGTTCTGATCCTGCTAACTGCAATTCACTCCCCTCTATGGGTTTCAGACTCACCACTTTGTCCTCAGTACGGAATGCTCTTTCTTCGGCCTTTTCCTCACACAAGCCTTTCTCCTTTCCATGAGTACCCCCCCCAAGCTTGGCTCTGCTACTTCTAAGGACTTTTCCCTATATTTTACAGGGACAATGAATTGTTTATGATGTCCATCTCCACTCCTATGAGGTGTTGATAAAACTTCTCTATATACCAGTTTTTTATCAGCTATAAAATTCTCTGGGTGTTCAGGTGTCAGTGGAATGGGATTCTCATTAGGTGTTCTGATACAATCATTTAAAGTACTATCTTCCTTCTGCTCATCAATATAGGAAGTATTATTAGGATTATCCAATATGACCACCTCAGCCATTTCTGCTATCTCAGGGTTTTCCTCTAAACTGGGGCATCGTTTAGGATTTTCAGGGGTTAGTGGAATTTCCTTAGCTTGCGCAAAAAATTCATTTAAGGTAGGGTCTTCCTTTTGTTCTTTGATGAAAAATAGATTCTTAGGGTGAGAGATTTCCTTCACTAACACTGTTATTATTGTTGACATTTTGAGAAGCTAACTCTAATTTTTTCATCTGTATTTGAAATTTCATTTCCCTTTGTCTATTTTCTTGCTCAAATGCTATTTCTCTTTGTCTTAATTTCCTTTGCCTGACCGCTTGCTCAGCTTCGGCTCTAATCTCTAGCTCCTTAGCTTTCTCTTCACCTCTGGCTTTTCTCTAATTTCTAATTTCTTGAGCTGTATTTCCTGAGCTTTCTCTTCAGCCCTGGCTTTTTCCAGTTCTAATTGGTTTCTCATAGCTAGCTCCTTCAATTTAAATTCTTGTTATAGTTTCCATTTTTCAAAATCTGGGGAGCTTAGAACACTTTCTCTCTCTGAGGCACCCTCATCAGTCTCCTGTTCCACTGGAGCCACAGGGTCTCCATTGCCCTCCACTTCCTAAGGTAAACTTTGTGCCTCTTAAGGATCAATTTCCTCCATTACTGGCTTTTTTAGGTCTTTTTGGCATAAGTATGTACTTTCTTCTTAATAAAAGGAACTGATTTCCATTGCTGAGTTAGTCAAGCCTCTTTTAAAAACACTTTTACTGTTTTCTTTTCCCAGTATTTTTCTGGGGTACAGTCTAGCTCTCAATCGGCAGCCTCGTGGTGCAGTGGTTAAACCGCTGTACTGCAGCTAAAACTGTGCTCACGACCTGGGGTTCAAATCCCAGGTAGCCGGCTCAAGGTTGACTCAGCCTTCTATCCTTCCGAGGTTGGTAAAATGAGTACCCGGCCCCCTGGGGGGGGGCAATGTGTAGCCTGCATAATTAAATTGTAAACCCCCCAGAGAGTGGTTGAAGCGCTATGGGGCGGTATATAAGCAGCACGCTTTGCTTTTTTTTTTTAAAGATAGCTACACTTTATCTGGCCTCACGCCAGCCACAATGTTTCTTGGTCTGAGACAACCTTCTTGTCTCCAGACACAAAACAAATTCTATTTTCAAGACTCTGCTTTTTATTTTCCTATCACCTCAGATCTGCTCTGACTGTGGCTTCCATTTTTTATCCACCAGTGCTCCCTTATCTCCCAGAGCCTTGGATTTCAAGCTAGCCCACTGGGTCTTTTCAAATCCTGAGGTAACAAAAAAAGAGAATCCTTTAGAGTCTGTTCCTATCTATAGTTCCCCCAGATCTGCATTCAAAAGCCCTGCCATCAAGCTTTTCCACAAAAGATCTAACAGGTCACCCACTTCTTCACTACAGACCTCTGACTAAAAGCCACTCTTGACTTAGAAAAACTCATTTTAAACTTTGGCTTTACTGGAATCGTTTCATATCCCACTGCTGCCACCACTTGTGACGTTTACCACATGGTCTCTGCTTGTTTCCCCAAACAAAGGGCTCACGCTATGTCATCCCACCAGCAGATACCAATTGGGACATTCCCTCTTTTCCTCACTGCCACCAGTGGATTTCCTTTATCCACAATATATAAAGAACTTTAGTCTGTATTTATTGAAGGGAGGCAAATTGAATAATAACAGAAATCCTTCAGATACACATTATACACAAGCAAATCATTAACAGTTCTCTCAGTACATACTGTATTTGCCGGCGTAGAAGATGACTTTTTGGCCCTGAAAAACATGCCTCCAAGTGGGGGGTTGTCTTGTACGCCGGGTGCATGTCCAGCAAACCCTCCCTCTCTCCCAGCGAAGTCACTTACCTGGTAGTAAGACCGAGTAGAGCCTTGCTCCTAGCCTGGGAACAGCCTGACTCGAGCACCGAACAGCTGACTATCGGGAACAGCAGAGAGGAGGCAGCCATTCTGAGATGCGACCACCTGGCTGCTGCCTCTCCAAAATGGCTGCCGCCTCTCCAAAATGGCTGCTGCCTCTCTGCTGTTCCTTCTTCCAGCAAACCCTAGCTCTCTCCGAAAAGGAACCAAAAGGGGCAAAAGGAACTCTCCCCATGATGCAGCCAAAGCAGAATCACACATGCAGAAGAGGGGGTAGTCTTATACAGCAAGTATATAACAAACTCTACATTCTGAGTGGGAATTTTGGGGGGTTGTCTTATACATCGTCGCCTTATACACCGGCAAATACGGTACTCCTTTCTCTTGCTATATCATTACCGCCTTCTCTACCTATTTTCTCTCCAGTCCTCTCATAAGCTCATGACTATGAATGGCATGAGTGATGTGGGATGGTCGTCGCAGACACCTATATGTTATATATATTTCTTGTTTGATAAAAAGGCAGAGCTGTTTATATCTGTTGTTACTGCCTTGCTGATTAGCAATCGGCCCTGAACCAAGAGATAAAATGTCCCACTGATCTGCAACAGCCTTACCCAGCCAGCAACAAAAGTAATCATTTAGAGTTAACTATATATAGCCAAAAAAGCTCTCATTCATGAAAATGAGCGAGAGAGATAAGGATGACAGCCTTATTTAGAATACTGATTATGCTGGGTGAGGACATGTTGCTTTTGATGCTAAGTGCTATGTTAAACTATAGCAGTGATGGCAAACCTACGGCACACATGCCACAGCTGGCACGCGGAGCCCTTTCTGCTGGCACACGAGCCATAGGTCGCCAGATTGCTACTCCTCCCGCACAGCCAAACCTCAGGTGGCGGCTGCAGCTGGCGCTTCGGCAGGCAGATCCGAAGCAACTGGTGCTGGCAGCACACGACTCCAAAACGATTCGCCACCGCTGAACTTTAGTATGTCATGATTTATCTTCTCTTACGGATTTTATGTTTCAAAGGTTTTCTGAAATATTTATGTGACTGCAAGGAGTCAGGCTATTTTTATGCATATTACCATGGAACTAAAGTTGAACTTCCAGAGATGTCTCAGCAGCTCTCTCATGCATTTCTTTGCTTATATTCATTTTGGATTACCAAGAGTTATTTTAGATGCGGTAGACAATTTAAAACATAATCATGTCTCTCTGCTTTGTGAAACCATTATGAAATGATATAACCACATATGCTGTATTCCACAATACTCCATTTTTGTTAATTCCTATTTGTGAAAATCACAATGTAAATTTGGCATAAGTTTGCAAAGCTTGCTTGCCGGCGGAAAAATGAAACACAAAAAGATGAAGACAACACACGAATAATTATTCAACAATATCAGATGTATGTGTAAATTAAATACAAAGTATCCAATAAAATAAAATAATATAAACAAAGTGAAAACTAATTGTATCCCCTGGCTATCAACAAACCTAAAATATTTTGTTAGCAGTTACCAATGAACAAGCTCCTGTGAATTATATGGTTCTGCTGGAAGGCAATTTAAAAAAGAGTGCCCAGTAGGATCTGACATTCCTTTCCATATTTCACATATTTAAACATTAGCACTTAGAATTTAAAAGCCACACTTTTCTCATTTAACAAGGTTTCCATTATTACTGCGGCTCCTTCTGTTTTCAATGCAGCTGATGTGCTTTCACCCCTGGGTGTAAAGCAGGTCCTGCCATTGGTGCAGCTTTTTTCCACACTCCATGCATTCATTTGGTTTGTTGTTTGTGAATTCTTTGATGGGAAGTAAGCTGATTGTTTTTTCTGAATGTCTTTCCACATTCCATGCATTCAAATGGTTTCTCTCCAGTGTGCATCCTTTGATGCGAACTCAGGCTATCCCTCCGAATGAAACTCAATCCACATTCCGTGCATTTATATGGTTTTTCTCCAGTGTGAATTTTTTGATGCGAACCCAGGCTGTCGCTCCGATTGAAGCTCTTTCCACATTCGGTGCATTTATATGGTTTCTCCCCTGTATGAGTTCTTTGATGTGAACTCAGGCTGTCACTCCGATTGAAGCTCAGTCCACATTCCATGCATTTGTATGGTTTCTCACCAGTGTGAGTTCTTTGATGAGAACTTAATTGATTGCTGTAAACAAAACTCTTTCCACATTTCATGCATTCATATGGTTTCTCTCCTGTGTGAGTTCTCTGATGTGAACTTAATTGACTGCTGTAAACAAAGCTCTTTCCACATTCCATACATTTATATGGTTTCTCTCCAGTATGAGTTCTTTGGTGTGAACTTAGATGACTGCTGTGACTGAAACTCTTTCCACATTCCATGCATGTATATGGTTTCTCCCCTGTGTGAGTCCTTTGATGTGAACTAAGGTGACTGCTGTTACTGAAGCTCTTTCCACATTCCATGCATTTGTATGGTCTCTCCCCTGTGTGTGTTCTTTGATGTGAACTTAGGTGACCACTCTGACTGAAACTCTTTCCACATTCCTTGCACTTATATGGCTTTTCCCCAGTGTGAGTTCTTTGATGTAAACTTAATTGACTGCTGTTACTGAAGCTCTTTCCACATTCCATGCATTTGTATGGTCTCTCCCCTGTGTGTGTTCTTTGATGTGAACTTAGGTGACTGCTGTGACTGAAGCTCAATCCACACTCCATGCATTTATACGGCTTCTCTCCTGTATGAGTTCTTTGATGTGATTTAAGGCTGTCACTTCGATTGAAGCTCAATCCACATTCCAAGCATTTATATGGTTTCTCACCAGTATGAATTCTTTGATGTAAAGTAAGTGTACTGTTGTGGCTGAAGCTCTTTCCGCAGTCAATGCATTTATATGGTTTCTCACCGGTGTGAGTTCGTAGATGTGTACTTAGGTGACTGCTTTGGCTGAAGCTCTTTCCACATTGCAGACATTTATACTGCTTCGCCCCTACCACGGGTTTCTCATGTGAAATATGATTACTGCTCATTTTGATACTCTTTGCATGTTCCATACATTGGTTTGGTTTTTTTCCTTCAGCTCAATTCTATGTTTGTTCAAATTTCTTTTTTTCTTTCCTTCTTTCTGGTTGCTGTCACAATTTCATAAACATTGGGCTTCTGATAACTTGCATATTTTAATTTTTCTAGCTTTTTTTCCTGTCTTTTCTCTCTTTCTGGCTGTTTAGTTTTTTTTGTTTTCCTGCATCACACTTAGTTCTGCTTGGTGATAGAATAGGTGGCTCTGTATAATTCTGATGGTTCTGTTCATTACCTGATGGAGAAAAAAGAGAAGGAGGAGTACAGCACAGCAGTGAATTGCATTGGGGATTTACTTTGTTTTTCACTTTAATGAGTAGAGATGGGGGTATTTGTATACGCATAAGCCTGCACAGCTAGACGTAACAACGGTCCGCCCCCCCTATGGCTGGACCATCCACTCACATATCCACCGCCACCGCTCTCCCTTCCAATCGCTCCAGAGCTTGTGGTCGGCTATCCACTCATCAGCCTGGCAGGGAGACTCATCTTTCCTCCTTCTGCCAGGAATGGTTAGCCGACCGAGAGCTCCAGAGCAATTGGAAGGAAGAGTGGAGCCAGCAGCAGCAGATGCATGAGTAGAGTCTGGCAACAAGGGGCTGGACCCTCGTTACTCACAGCTGTCCAGGGCTATTCTTATTTGTATATAAATACCCCAATTTCTAGTCACGAGAAAAGAAGGTATCCCATAACAATTATTGAATGCAGAATGACTTTGCTTCTAAGCATAAATGAAAATAAGATGGAAATGGCTTAGAGACACTCTACTAGGTCTGTGATTTGATAAAACAAAAATGCCCATTTAGACAGTGGACATCATTGGCAAATAGTTGCATATTGAATATTCCAGCATTCAAGTGCCCACCACCTTCCAAAGGCATTGGGTTCCCTTGTTGTACTACTTTAACAGTTAAGACATTTTTCCTGCTATTCAACCTAAATCTGGCTTCCTGTAACTTGAACTCAATATTGCATGCCCTGCACTCTCAAACGATTGAACACAGATCCTGTCCCTCCTTTGGATGACAACACCCCCACACACACACTCTTTTTCCCAAGGGTAAACATGCCCAGAGCTTTCAGTCTTTCCTCACAGGGTTTGCTTTCCAGTCTTCTCATCATTCTTGTTGCCTCTCCTGTTCCAGTTTGTCTGCATTCTTTTTCAACTGTGCTCTTCTGAAATGGGCCCAGTACTAACAATGAAGCCTGCTCGGTACCAAATAGAGGGGAACTAGTACTTCATATGGTAAGTCCTTAAAGAAATAGGAGTGCCTGATCACCTTCTCTACCTCCTGAGAAACCTATATGTGGGACAGGAAGCAACAGTTAGAACTGGATAAGGAACAACCGATTGGTTCAAAATTGGGAAAGGGGTACGACAAGGCTGTATATTGTCCCTCTGCTTATTTAACTTATATGCAGAATACATCATGTGAAAGGTCGGACTGGAGGAATCCCAAGCTGGAATTAAGATTGCTGGAAGAAATATCAACAACCTCAGATATGCAGATGATATCATTCTGATG